ATAAGTCATCTTATATTTGGTGCAGTTACACCAAACAATGTTAATATATTCTATTATTACTCGAATCAACTATGTTTATATTTTTCTAGGAGCTTTATACCTATTGCATGTGTATGGGTATTTGAAACGTTAATTTTTACTGCTAATCGTGAAACAAAAATGTCACTAATTTGTTGACTCGAGACAGTATAAGCACAAAGAAAGAGCCCAATAAGAGTAAACCAGTCACGATTCTCAATATAAGCAACAATAAAATTAATATCGTTAATATCTGCTAGAGTAATATTTTCAGTTTGGATTTCCTCATGATCAATGCGAATGATTTATAATATTACTTGTAACGAAATATGCTATCGTTTATGTTTAATCCTTTCTCTCCTCTTTGATACTAAGTCTACGAAATGTTTTGTTTATGCAAATAATATATGTCTCTACGCTGTAACAAAAAGTTGTCAATTATCTCCAAATATGCGTAAGTAATACAAATTTATAACTTGTTCCAACTCCAAGCAGTCTTTATGAAATGATGTTTTACGAAATGCTAGCACTATATTCCATATATTAATCTTTATGTATTATAATGAAAAGGAAGAAATAATCCAAGGTCTGTTTGAAATATTAGCTTAGATTTGTTAAGTGTGTATATAACGTTTCGTTTCTACACCCAACACTATAATGCAAACCCTGATATTAGGCTTTTGCTCGTTTTGAAATTATGGAAAATCTACCACTTAACATTGTGGCTATTAGATAAACCTTTCCAAAGTCTAGGACAAGTTATCAGATATATATGCCAGTATGTTTTTGTGCTCAATGCGTACATCATTACATGGTAACATCATTTCGATATTGTATGCATTGCTACGCTTATTGAATATATTCTCCAATGGAAATCGTATAAGAATACATTGTAAAGTACCTTTGCAAGCAGACGGCTTAAGACTACTTTCAGTTACAAAACCAAGGAACGATAATGATCAGAGCGATCCAAATATTAATCTGTAAGGATCTATCTGAAAATTGTAACCATTAGGCAATTGGAGCGGTCCAGACACCACCTTTAGACTTTTAAGTATTGAAATTTATATGCATCTCTCTCTCTCTCTCTCTCTCTCTCTCTCTCTCTCTCTCTCTCTCTCTCAGTTTAAAGATAACAGAGGAGAGATAATTTTAATACTTTTTTATATATAATTATTATAGTAGTTAACTTTCACCATATTTCATAAAAACAATACATGTCCAAAAAGCTCCAAAGTTTATATGGGAGCACTCTGTTGGCGTAGTGGTTAGCGCGTCCACTTCGGATGAGGCAGGTCGAAGGTTTGAGCCACAGGTCGATTTCTACCAAAGACTGATTAAAATTGTACTCTAATAACTGCCTCACTTGGCGCTCATCATTAAGAGTTTAGTATTAGGATTGGTCTGCCAGGTGTCAGCATAATGAAACTGGGTGGAACATCATGCTTCATATCTGCGGCATGATGATCCAGTGCTGGAGATCACTATAAACTGCCACACTGCAGACATCGTAGCAATATGACTTGAAAGATGTCAATCATACGCTAAAAATCCAAATAAAAAACACACACCAAAGTATATATGGCATTTTGCCTCATTCATATAGTTTCTCAGATTATTATTCGTAAATTAAATCGGTAAGACACATTTGTGCCTTGATGATTCATGAGCAACTTGCACACAGATCAATGCCCTTACGTAAATTATATATAAAGAGTTGGTATAAAACTTCTCATGCTCAGACAACGATATCGTTTAATTCTTTTCCTAAATTTAGACTCTTTATGTGCATTCGAAGGACCAATTATACTTTCACTGCCATAAAATATTTTACTAGGAACGCGACATAACACTTCTTCATCAGTATAATATGACGTCATAATCAAATTAATATAATTCTCAATTTTGCAAAGCCTTGGCAAATTGCCTTTGAATAGGTTAACACTACATCAGATTATACAGATAAGTAGAATCTAATAGTTGAAATGCCAGGTAGGGAACTACTTATATGTTTATTCACAATGGTTGCAACATAGTCCTTTTTATATTTCTTTAAATTGGTTATTATTGTCATAACTAATTGTAAAGATGCGAATTGAACTTCAAATTTACCAGAATGCATTTAGTAACGAACTCCGACAATCGATTTCACACTGTTTGTACAGCGAAGTTAAGTTCTTAAATATCCACGAGCATGATTCATTTCTTGAAAAAAAAATTATGGCAGGGTATATTTTATATTCATCCACGTGAATATAAAAATAAATTAAGTGGAATAACACAGTATACTGCAATAATGCACAATTTGCATTTCATTTGTTTAAAGTTTATTAACAAGTAAGGTTGTTTACTTTGTGTTAAATGTGTGTTAATGTTTCGTATAGGCTAATTGCTTTCGGAGGCGATTTGTAACCTCCTGGGCTAAATTTGGATATTTTGTTCCAGCAGAAACGAAATAAATCTTAAGTACACGTGATCTGTAAAAAATGTTTAGAAAATATCGACTTACATGGAAATTGATATTTTTGTATAGTCTTTCATCACTTCAGCATGAAACATTAATCAATATTCTATAAAACAATAAATTTTACTTTGTTCTTGGTATTGCATTTTTAATAGAATGTCTGTAGATAAAAACGATTAATTTTGCAACATCTGTTAAACACAGTCTCATGAACTTATGTTATTGCATCAAATACTTATTTCTCGGCTATGTCAAGGTTAGTACGTGAGAACGCTTGCTGGTAACTTCCTATAAGTAGTTGGTTCTTTCCTCGGTTTCTTGGTTTTTCCTATACCAAATATACAGGTCGCCATATATGAACTTATCATGTGCTGAAAAGTGGGGTTAAACCCGCAAAGCACAAAAGCTCAAAATATTTTGAAAACAACTATTATCACCGATACTCGGAGTTACATACATAACTAGCAGATTCGATGCAAATTTAAAATCTTAAAGCTTTCAAGAAAATACAGTAATGAGTTATCATTTAGTTTTTGATCTAGCTGAATCGGATTCATTTAATGATTACAATGTTTTTGAACACTAAAAATTCCTTTGATAGTCAACTCGAAATAAAGATTAAAGTACTAACTAAAAGTACTAAATTTTTAACTGATAATAGACTGTTGATAGGTGACAATCAGATACTCCTTAGTGACATTATAATTTAATATTGCAGATTTTATTTATATATTAAACAGATTTACAACCTGTATTTCAATTTCTTTTCTTATCGTGGTGATGGTCGAGTATTGATTGGCCCAGGCCAGAGACTATAAAACATTTACTCTGTTGAGCACAGAATGTACTCTAAATACTGAGTATTTGTTTTTATTAGTAAAACTGAGAAATCACCAGAGCATAAATACTTCTTTAAATCAAATTTAATTAAACAATTTAATTTTTCCATTAAGGCAGTCTTTCTTTTGTAAGTGCTACATCTTAAAAAACAATAAATTGTGATTTATAATTAAACGTATGGAAAAATGTGATAAGAACTAGAGAATTATAAAATTTAGAATTTATTCGTCTTATATAGTAAAAATAACTTTCTTAATCGAAAGTGAACCATCTTTCACATAGTTACACCATCTATTCCATTCCCGTGCATGTATTTAATAATTGGTAAATACAAAGGCTTGCTCCTTACAGTTCATTGGTATTATGGAGAAAAATAGACTGACTAGAAGCTAATAGTTTTAAACTCCACGTGAGCTTTCAGTCCAATGTTTCTTCAGCGATTAGTCCGTTAGTTGGTGGGAATGTTCGTTTATGTCTGGACAGCACATTTAAAACGAACAATGACAGGGGGCTCTTAACAGTAATTGATGAACGTCGAATAAGGCGCCAATATACGTTTTAGGGCGTTTAAATGAGGTTTATAAAATGACCTTCATGTTATTGAAATGAAAAGGAAATAAAACCTATGCATAGCAAATTAATGTGTGGGAAAGGCTGTGAAAAACTTTACGTTTCTACTGCAGTCATATCCAGTTCCAGGTATAATGCTTTATGCATGCTAGTTGATCGACGGAGCGAGGAATATGATAACTGTATTTCTTAATCAATGGCGCCTATTGGGGGAATAAAAAACACTAAAAAATACTGCAGATTAACACGTAAAGGAGGAAGCCTGCTTGCTACCTAAGGAGGCAGTGTGTTTTATACCAGATTGGATCGAAGATATTATCCTCAATTTGCTAACGTATCAAGCAAAACATTACGTGTATCTCACAGAAACTTGGGATCCTCCAGTCAGAATTATTTGTTTTATGGATAAAAATAATTAACAAACACTTAATAAACTGGCAACTCTTATTCCTCAAAAAATGGATACTTTTCGATATTTGTGGTGGAAATTATTTTTATTGACTTTGTTGGTGACGTTTGGAAATTTCCTTACTAATGTTAGGCTCGCATAACCTATTGAAGCCCTTTTGACTATTTCATTTTGACCCCTTTTGTAGTTTGATAGCATTGAAATGAAACAGTCAGTTTGTGTAGACTGCCCCTTAAAAGGGACAATAATAGTTATAGTGAAATACAGTTTATATCAAAACAATTAAATAGTTTGCAAATCTCCCTAACTTTAGGAGGGAGCAACCGATTTATCCGCTTTGTTCGATATTTTAATGTTTTTTTTTTTTTGCATTGAAATAGCGTCTTTGTGATTTCGATTTTTATCGTAGCTTTAACAATTTTTCCGTCATTGCTACGATGTCTGCAGTGTCACAGTTTATAGTGATGTCTAGCACTGGGACATCATGTCTCAGACATGTGGTATGATGTCCCACCCAGTCACATCATCCTGACACCAGGCCAATCAGTCCTAACACTAACATCTTAATTCTGAACGCCAAGCGAGGCAGCTGTTAGTACCATTTTTAAAGTCTTTGGTATGACTCTACCGAGGTTCGAACCCGATCAGTCCTAGCACTAAAACCTTAATGCAGAGTGCCATTTTTGAAAGTCTTTGGTATGATCCGGCCGGGTCTTGAAACCGCGACCTCCCACATTCGAAGCGGACGCTCTAACCACTAGGCCACCGGAGCGGTCATTAAAATAGTCATCCCAAACTGAGACAGCACAGAATGATAACGTAATGAATTCCATACGTGATGGAGGAGAAGAGAGTCAACAAAACTCTATGAAGATGATAGCGTATACCGCGTTAAACTAGAAATACATACTATTAGTAGTACTAGCAATATTAGCAGGGTTTTAAGGCACGACAGCACAATACAATCTATATCCTGCAAGTGAAGGTAACGTTTTCGCTTGGAATATAAATGCTTGTAAAAATAACTCTCGGATGATAAAGGTTTCCATATAAACATAAATATTAAGACATAAAATGCAATATAAAGTAATTACACAATGTAAATTCTTTTAAAACGTTCGCAAACATTTGTTATATAACTCGCATTTCCGCAGAACGTCAAAGACGTTCTCTGGAGGTAAAGCGTTATAGCATTTGTTTAGCTAGTTCCCATTGAGCAACTCCCTTCTAAAAGGTAGAGTTAATTCGAAAAAATGTAGTTCGTTGTCATTGGACCGACAGGACACGCACAATAATCGAGGAGGAGATAAGCATAAGTCAGGAATGGGTCTCTGTAAATGATCTTTGGGACCAAAATTTTTATAAAAGACACTGAAGCTTTAACACTTCACAATGCCCTAAATGGCATGAAAATGAAAAGACAATATATCTGTACGGCTGTTTGATTACCATGTAAATAAATCCTTTTGGCAAAACGTTTGTTGTTTAGGGGACTGTTATATATCGAGTCAAAATGTTATAAGGGTACTTTTATAAACCACGGTCAGCCAAAGAGTATTGAACTCGTATTTCAGATTTCGTAAGTTTTATGACATTGTTCAAAGTGTTCATAAATGCATAATATAGCCATTTTGAGTATCCAACGTACATGTCCTCCAGTACATCTTGGTGTGACCGCTGTATATGAGCAAATTTAACTTGGTTTTTGATATTCTAATCGAAAATATCATTCAGTTATATGTAGCCATTGAAACTTACGATTTATACTACCATTTAAAACAAACCTCTGATTGTAATAAATTCTGTAAATTAAGAGACAAATCAAGATAACGTTTATTTTTTTTCCAAGCATGTGAATATTTATCGCTAAGAAAGCCATTGTGATTTCGATTGGACTGGAAACATTTTATTATGAATATTTGCGTAATTGCATACTTACTTGTGTGTTCAGGAATCGTTTCTAGTTTAACATTTCTTTACGGAGAAGTGATGAACAGAGCTAACATTAGCTTTACATTATCTATTTGCAATATTATACATCATACAATTTAGTTCCTACCTGGTCTTTGTAACTTGTGGATTCGACTGCCAGTTAGAATCTATATATAATTCAAGCACATCTTGATGACAGCTAAGCTTTTCCTTGAGTTCGATCCTCTAAATAGACAGCGGAGATTGCAAAGAAAACAACGCATTTGTTCGGCATGACTTAAAATATTTCATGGTGCGATTGGTCGTTGTGGTTCTAACGTAATATTCAATCACCAAATTTGTGTCGACTTCAGATGCAGACGCCTACATATAAAAACACCACAACTTCTTTTGAGACTTAAATTTCACTTGGATCAAAGAATTAAAAGAAGATAATGTTGGCAATAAAGTTGTGAAAAATCTTATCATGCAAGCTTTGTTAAATTTACATTCCGGTCAGAGAAGTTGTGTTTAATATTGATCTGGGGTGGTTCTTAAACAGATATATTGTAGAATGCGGATCCACAACAGTTAGATTATCTTTCTACAGTTTTGCAGATAGTTTGCTTTTTTCTTCTGAAAATAACATTATATTCGTTTAATGACGCTTCTATTTTCTATACCTTCGTGTAACTACCAATATTAAATTTGTTTTAGAGCATTGGGCTAACGATGATAAATAACAATTCGGAAATATGTTGGGGACACAAATATTGCACATAAGCATATATAACTTTTCACTACTACATCTGTAAACATAACAATTAGATATTGCTGAATGATGGTCTCCCAAATTATGGATTTTGTAATGACAGCAGGATCAGGGTTGTCAGCTCTAGTTTTACTTCTCTTCATCATATTACTGATTTCAAACTAGATAGGTCGTATTCGTCTTCACATAATGCTGTAAGGACAAGCTTTCATCAACGAAGAAGATTTATTATGCTTTTAGAAACTGCAGATCTCAGATTTCTGTCACTTTTATTTGAAAATATCTCAAAAAAATTGCATTAGTTACACAATAAAGAACGTGCCATCGTAAAATTATGTAAATAACTTAAGCAAAATAATACTTATATCAAATCTGCATCGAAGGCTTTTGTTATGATATATACGAAGGTTTTGGAACAAATGTGTACAGAGTCGTGGTACAGTTTGAATCATTGACAGAATGTCTGCTAGTGCATGTAAACACAACATTAAACGTACTATCTTTAAAACAAATCTAAATTTAGCTGAGTGTGTGGAGGACGTTATTTAATTTGAGACATCACAACTCTTGATTTGCAACTCAGCCTGTAAAATGGTTTTAATAAATTGTTGGAAGAAAGTGAATGGGGTTGATATTATTAAGTTTGGCTTTTTTCATCGACAATGAAATAGGTTCTGTCTAAATTTTATCAAAGCACGCTTCTCTCTCTTTTACTATTTTCGCCTTTATTTACTTTAAAACAATATTCTGGAAGATCCGTCACATGGTGTGTTTAGGATGGTTGCCGTGAATTGTTTAAATGCATTTCATTAATAAAGAATGTAACACACTTGATGAAATGCAACTCAACAATAGCTTCGAGGATAAAAATTACCAAATGCTTGAATTTGCTGAAATAATTAAGTTTAATATATTTACATTTTATATTACGTTAATAATAGTAAGGTGCATCAAAACACCATCATCGAGCAAATCTTTGAAATAGGTTTGGCCACCTCGGATATTCTGACTAGATTAGTGTTCATGTGTACTTGACAATCATCCGAGATGTCTTAAAATGCATGCAAACTGTTGGAGGAATAAAATAAACGAAATATATAGACTGTCATTTGTCCAAACTGCGAGAGATACAAATTTTAATTCGCAAGAAACAAAACATATATGAAGACATCTTGCATTGATTTCAAACAGATGGCTCAATCGTATGCCACAGTTCTCAGCAACAACTCGGGTCAATATTTTCAGGAACAAACAGATGAGACTCTGCAAGGAAAGAAACTGCCCTTGAAGAAACGAATGCCTTACAACATTCTATACATAAGATAACCTTGCGAACACCATTCATCTGAGATTTTCAAGCACGAATTCCAGAGATTATCCGATTGCACAGTGCATCACGTGATAGTCCTAGGTCGCGCTGGAATGAGATCAATTAACATAATGTGAAAACAACGCGTTTTTGCTGCATGGCCAGCAATTGTTGAATTCATAGTCACCAATTATTCCTCCGGTTTACGTTTAGCAAACTCTGGTCTCACTGGACAGCTTTATCTGGCAAATTGTCATCCGACGATGACCTATTGCAGAAAAATGATAATAATATTATATTAAAGATGCAACTAAAATCTACTTATTGATTTATGTGGAAAGGATACTTGTATGTTTCTGACTGAAGTATTAAGGTTAATTACTTATACAACTGGTGGCTTTTATACTGAACCCATACTACCACCAACCCCTCTTTTAACATTCATTTCTGACAGAACATAGCTATATGGGACATTTTCCAGAAACAAGGCTGCTAAAATAATCAGTATGTACCTTATTCATTTTTAAAGTTCACTAGTACTTTAATAAATTAATATACCTCTCATCACTCTTCAGCCATCTAGAATTTTAAATATTTAAATCTGAAGCAGACACGTGTAAACACGTAAGCAAAGACGGGTGCTCATTTGCAGTCCAAGTTACGCATTTGATCCCCAATGCTAGTCTAACTGTGACAGGCAGTCACCAACAAGCCAACCCATTTTCAAGCCTAACTCAACGTAAATGTAAACCACATTACATATTTAGACTTTGTCTTAATTTATAAATGCTACGGTCGTGATAATTAGGCTCATGCCTTCTACCTTAAAAAATAGGGGGTGTCAAAATACGAAACTATCCAGCGAGTCCTCTGTTTTGGGTTGCATATGTGGCCGGAGGAATGCCATCAAAATTAAACAACATAGCCCAAGTCTTTGTTAGACCGAATAAAAGTGATTGTGTAGTTAATATAAATTGAACAGGCCGCAGTGTCGGCGTAGCTCAGGTACGGAAGAGAAGGTTACATTGTCCACCATTGTTAAAAGGTATAGTAGTAGTAGTAGTAGAAGTATTAGTATAAATTGTTGTAATGGTTATTGGTGGTGGTCTTTGAAAAATTATATGGTTCCATTTAAAAAATATAATGTAATAATAAATGAGTTCCACCTCCAATAAACAAAAATAGTAATATTCAAGAGGCATTTACTATCGACAGGAAAATCAAAGTTCATTGTCCTTTTATTGCTTTAAATTCTTTTAAACTCGTATGTTCGAATGAAACGCATATTTGTGACATAGAACAATTTACGTAAAATAAATATATACAGCGTTAAAATCAGACTGTTAGATTGATATTCTACTAGAGAAGTAACATAAAATTATCATACATAAAGTACTTACATGCATTACTATGGGAGCAGGTTACAATATTCTACAAGGTACCCTTTGAACCGAATAAATTTTCACGTTTGCTTTTGAATAAAGTTTTCCCACATTACTGATTGTCTAAACAGACATCTCCACGTCACATTTGTCCATTCGATGGGTTCACATTATTCCAAAGAGTGTATTCTCCTTTGTTTTATTTCCTGTCTTCAAACTCCAATGATATCTTTGAATCTTCGAGAAACATTCATCGCCACTCATACGTGCACATAAAAATTAATTTATTGTCAGCATGCATTACAAAATAATAGCACGAATAGCTTCACTTTTACTGTTCTCTCGGCTATAACGTGCGATACGAACAAAATATAAATCATCGTTGAATGCGGTTAAAC